AATGGCTTCTACTGTAGTTGATATTAACCAAAAGGATTTCAGCCACTGTCTTGTATGGTATGTAACTGTAGGTTAACACCTTTAATGTATAATCTCATAACACACTGATAATGCAGTGTTCAGACCTATGAGTGGATGTACAATCAATTGCCCAATGTTTGTATTCAGCAGAAAATTGACATAGCACAAGCAAGGTGTAAATACATCAGTGTAGATTTACACTACACAAGCAAAATGTGAGCCAGCATGATTGTAGTGGTTTGATTGTTGGACTAAGACTTCAGGAAACCAGGGTTCAAGTCCCTGCTTGGCCATGGAAACCTATTAGGTGACCTTGGGCAAGTTATACTATCTCAGCCTTGGAGGAAGACAGTGGCAAACCTCCTCTGAATAAATTTTGTCACTATAAGTTGGGGTCAACCTGAAGGGACATAATAATAGCACCAATGTAGGATCTGAATCAATGCATGTAACTGTTTGTATGATTGGTCCTTTCCTGACATTTATTGTAGTCTTAGTCTTTAAAAGACTATCAAGCTATGATAGATAGATAGATAGATAGATAGATAGATAGATAGATAGATAGATAGATAGATAGATGGGAAATGGGGATCCATGCTTACATAACCCTGCTCAGACATTACCATGCTTCCTTTAATATGAGTGGAGAGGTATACCTAGCCCCTCTTCCCTCCATTATTGCTTTTCTCATGTAGACATCATGCACCTGAAGATGAGAGGTTTGGGTTCCAGTTGTGACTTTTCCTACAAGAAAGAAAGTTGATTTTCCAGGCTCACAATGATGCCTGGTACCTTCCAGGTCATTGGGCCAGTGAATCTATTCTTGTTTATAATCTAGAACATTCCAGGAGCTGTCCAAGGTGCTAGTTCTATTTTGAAGGCTCAGACCATGGATAATTACTTTATAGTTTGAATTCAAACCCCGAGTAGATACACTGCTGTGCTTTCAAGAACCTCTAAAAGAACAAGACGTTCTCCTCTTTGGACACATGCCAATGTAACTCTAGGCTCCATCAATAGGAGTATAGTTTCTAGATCAAGGAAAGTAATAGTACCACAGACCTCACCTGGAATACTGTGTCCAGTTCTAGGCAACACAATTCAAAAAGGATTTTGACAAGCTGGAATGTGTCCAGAGGAGGGTGACCAAAATTGTGAAAAGTCTGGAACCATGCCTTATGAGGAGTGTTTTAGGGAGCTGGTTATGTTTAGCCTGGAGAAAAGAAGGTTAAGAGGTGACATGATAGCCATGTTGAAAAATTTGAAAGGATGTTATATTGAAGGAACAAGTTTGGTTTCTGCTGCTGCAGAGACTACTAGGACATGGAGCAATGGAGTCAAGCTACAGAAAAAGAGATTTCATCTAAACCTTAGGAAGAATGACTGAATGGTAAAAGATGCTTCACAGTGGAATAGGCTGTGTCAGAGTGTGGTAGAGTCTCTTTCTTTGGAGGTTTTTAAAGAGAGGCTGGATGACCATCTGCTGAGAATTCTTTGATTGTGTATTCCTGGATGACAAGGGGTTGGACTGGATGGTCCTTGTGGTCTCTTCCGACTCTTTCGTTCTATGATTCAATGATCATTTTCCACATGATAGAAGCTGCTCCCCTATTGAAGAAACTGTGGTGAGTAATATCTGGCCTGAGCCTATCTGACTCCAAAGGGCAATAAATGTAGAAACAGATAGCTCCCTGGTGTGCTCTTTTGTATCTTTTGTATCATTCATGCTGCTGTTTCCTCACCCATAGACTAATGCTCTTAGACTTGATTTCACTCCTTCCCACATACTTCTCCCCCTTTTTCTTAGTCATGTAGCCTGTAGTAGCAGAATCCATCTTTGCTCCTTCCCAGATACTGTCATTTACTCTAATAAAACTTTCTTTTCACTGAAAATGGTCATCAGTGGTAGTTGGTAATTTCAGAAAACAGCTTTGTATAGACTAATAACATAGGCACTTTATTTGTTACTGCAACATAAGCACATGGGCAGAAGAATCCTGTGGGGCAACAGAAGACAAAACTGTGGGGGAGAATCCACATTTTCTTCTTCTCTTCCGTTATTCCAGCTCCTGGTGTTTTGGAAAATTGAAAAATTCAACAAAATGCAACTGATTCCAGGGAAGTGGGGATAAAACTATACTAGTCATAGCTGAAATGGAAGGGAGGTGTAACCATAACTTGGAATTTTTATTTTTGGACTACAGCTCCACTAATCATACTAGAATTCCACTAATCATACTAGCTTGGGAATTCTGACTTTTGTAGTCCAACAGAACTTTTCCAGGCTCTGTATTTTAGCCTACTGCATATGCAAAAACCTCTCCTGGACATTAATAGAATGCATACTTTTTAGGCTCTCCAGTGTCAAAACTCTGGTTTCAGAGGCATACTAGTTGCAGGTCTTTCTACATACTTTTGTACAAGGAAATCTTAGAAAAGTACTTCCCCTTCCACCCTTGGAAAGGAAGAGCTAGAAATACACACATCAAAACAGTGTGACTCAGGTTGGGGCTCTTTTTATGCAGTTGAATAAAAACATTTACAGCTGGGGGGAATGTGTAGTTGGAATGCTGATAGATGTGTAGTTGAAATATGGGGAGAAGTTAGACACATCCATTGGAGATTGGACACTGAAATAGAAATTTATAATAGCAGGAGGATGCAGAAACTCTTCCAGAATCAATAAAAGTACTCAAAAAGTGATGCAAACCTAGGAAAGGGAAAGACCAGTGTTTGAGAGATACAAGTTTGATGAGGCAGGAGGAATAGATGAATAACATTTTTTGTTGAACAAAGGTAGATTCATAAATGATTTTTCACTGGGTAGTAGATAATAGAAATCATGACTCATACAAGGTGTATTTGTGCTTGGTTCTGTTTCTCTTTTCATTTGTAGGGTGGTTGCCTGACAGAACAGTCAGCAAAACTGGCTGCTGGTGGGTTTTGTTTTTTTTTCAATGAGGCTTTGGGACAGGAGGGAAAGGTGACTTTCAGCAATACAATAGTTCCATCGAACTTCTCAAGTCAAAGTGACTTTCAAATACAGGTTTATTCAGAGAATCTGCTCCTCGGCACCAGGATCAATATTCAGTCTTCTTCATGTTGATGTCTTCTTGTCATCCATTAGAGCCAAAGAAGGCAGTGTTGTGAATAAGGAAAATTGGAAGTGACAAGAAACAAAGGGAAACACATTCTTTTCTTACTGCAGAAGCTGAAAAGTGGGGAAAACAATGCATGAGTAAAGAATGAGGATCTTTTACATGTCTTAGCTTATTCAGAGGTCTATGTACAAACAAGTCAGCCTGAAATCTTTCTTGGATGGTCGAGGAGGAGGAGATGGAGAAGAAATAGAAGATATTGTATCCCTATTTATATTCGACTTATCCTTTGGAAAACGTTTCTTAATGAACATTGATATTCATCTTCAAAGAACCTGGAATTAAGGCTGCACCTACACAGCAAAATGAATGCAGTTTGACACTGCTCAATGCTATGGAATTCTGGGATTTATAGCTTTGTGAGATATTTCGCCTTCTCCATCAGAGGGCTCTGGTGCCACAACAAACTACATATTCCAGTATTTCATAAGATGGAGCCATGACAGATAACACAATGTCAAACTGCATTCATTCTGCGGTGTGGCAGCAGCCAAATGCTAAAGAGTATTTGTCTCATCTTACCAGTGGACTGGTCTTGGATCTTAGAGCTTGGGCATGCTCATATGAGATGGTATAGTCCTTCAACCTGTGCCACAGAGAGCACTTTGAATTGTTGGTAGACAATTCAACACTTTGAATTGTGGGCAGCCAGGGAAGCTGTTGAAAGAAGAAAGTTTTCTTGTCTGCTCCCTGTAACCAGACCCAGTTAACAATCTGGCTTCACTTCATTTGACCAGTTGAAGTTTTGAAACACTCTTCAGAGGCACCCCACGTACAGCGTTACAGTAATCCATTCCTGGATGACAAGAAAACACCCAACTAATCCACTATTCTCCTTCCAATTGTGGCCAAAAAGATGCTTCCAAGAAGGGCAGAAACAGGGTTTATAGGGAACAGTTGCCTATTGTTAAAGATACAGTGTGGTGTAGTGGTTTGAATGTTGGATTACAACTCTGGTGACTGGGGTTTGAATCCCTGCTTGTCCATGGAAATCCACTGGGGAGCCTTGGGCAAGTCACAATCTCTCAGCCTCAGAGGAAGGCTGACTGCCTCTGAACAAATCTTGCCAAGAAAACTCCATAATAGGTTCACCTTAGGGTCACCATAAGTCAGAAACTACTTGATGGCACACAATAACAAGAACAACAGCCCAGTGATTTTCATCTTCTTCATTCAATATTCTGCAGTGTGTCCCCCATGGCCACATGAATTCCATCCAGTAATTCTGGCTTTTCCATGAAATTGTCTTTTTAAAGTAAGAACGAGCAACTGTGGGAGGTGTGCTCCTACAGGGCCCACATGGAGTGCCAAAAATGCCATTTAAAAGCCCCAGAACAAAAAAAAATGGTCTGCAGTTTTCTTCTAGTTTTGAAAAAACAGGGGTATTTTAATTACATATATGAAACAGTGCCCCTGTTGTTGTTTTGTGCTTTCTATTTGACTCCAGCCTATAATCATTCTGCCATGTGGTTTTCTTGGCAAGTTTATTCAGAGGAGGTTTGCTTTTAGCTTCCTCTCAGGCCAAGAGAGTGTGACTAGCAAAGAGCCATGGTCATTCCTGCTACAAGTCATCGCAGTTTTGGCCTGTAACACCTATGATTCTCCCCCCCAAAAAAGGAATGGATAATGTTTACACATCCACCCCAAAAGCTGTGGCCCTTGATCTCTCTAGATTCCCTGTACAACCTGTTCAAAAGGTGTATTGTTGTTACGTGCCTTCAAGTCATCTCCATCTTACAGTGATCCTATCCTAGGTTTTTCTTGGCATTTGATTTATCATTGCCTCTCATTGCTGAGAGAGTGTGACTTACCCAAAGTCACCTAGAGCAGGGATTTGAACCCTGGTGTCTTGGAGTCCTAGTCCAACATTCAAACCACTACACCATGCCCCTGCGACATTAAAAAGGTGGATTCCTGCTTTTTGGAGACTCATCTTTGTTTTGACCAGGAAAAAAGTGACCCAGGGAATATAGGGAGGCCAGATCACAGCTTGGGGGGCACAATTTACCAATCCCAGTCTGAAATCTGCACATGCTACCAGCCAAAATTGCATTGATTTGAAGCACCAATGTCCATGTGTGAATTCTCCATTCTGTAAAGAAGTATTGTGATAATTGAGCACCACCTGATTCTAGTGTCCTCCCTTTAAGATAGACCTACTGCAAATGTGTCCTCTTCATTTTCAAAGCTTATACCCTACACACTTAGTTAGATGAAGGCAGGGTGGGCAAAATGGGTGTCATTTCCCTAAGAGACTGTTGTTGTTATCTGTCAACTACAACTTGTAGATATCCTATCCTTGGTTTTCCTTATGATCTATGCAGATAAGGGGTGCCATTGTCTTGGTGAGAGAGTGTAACTTGTACAAAATCATCTGGTGGGGTTCCATGGCTGAACAGGGATTTGAACCCTGGTCTCTCAGACTCCTCGTTCAATACTCAAACCACAGCGCCATCCTGGCTTTTTCCTAAGATAAGATGCCTTGATGCAGAGGAAACGAGGGCTAACCTTCTTGTGATTTACATTAACATCCAAAATCCACAAAACAATGAATTGCAAGCATTCAAAGGTCTACTGGCTTCTTCGTCAGACAAAGGTGTTAAAAATCATACAGGAGAAAAAATATGATGTTAGTCACAAGCCTATATTTTTTCAAATTTTCAAGTTGTTGTTTTTAGATAAGATGGAATGAAAGGATATCCATGCAGGCAGACCACTCTTCCTTCTGGCCATGTGGGTACTTGAGAAAAAAAGCATCTTAAAAGTTCAGGAAATAAAAAATTCCATTAGCAACATAAAAGGATACTTCCTTTGAGATCCAGCTTGTCTCAGTCCTTTGTGAGGTTACAGACCCCTTTGTTAGGCAAAGAACATTGCATGTCTCAAGAAGCCTCCATGCTTTTGCATTAGGAAAAACTTTTCAGTTTAGGTAAAACATACCAAATGCAGTTCCAATTTTTACAAAAATGTTTTACCTTTGTTAGAGATAGAAACATCAAATAGTAAAGACTTAATTGGGAACAACATCATCTTGACAAAATGTAGGCCTGTGACTGTCATCATATATATATATATATATATATATATATATATATA